AGATAAAATGTCAGGTCAAATATTCAATATGTTGGCGGTGAAGCGGCGACTACTCCGTCACTCCGGTCACCCCTTCTACGTGAACGATGTCACGCAACACCAGCTCGCTCGCGTGATGTTCTAACGACAAGCTTTCTTTAGATTATAATAAATGTTTTGATAAAATTGATTAATAAACTTACACGTTTTATCGAGCTTGACTTAGTTTTTTTAATTACTGAATAATAATTCAAATAGCAATTGCGCTATATTGTTTTTTGGAAAACTAAAAACTGAGATGATCTTACTTGCACATGTTGATTCAAGCTGTTAGGATCCCTGTCCTCCAAGGTTTCTCGCAGTCCGGTATCACGCTTGTCTTCCGCCATCGCCCTGTGCGGTGGGGACACCACTATCCTCGGCGGAGGTGTTGCCCGCGGCGCTGGGGACCGCACGGTCACCGGCACCAACACCGCGGGGGCCGACGATGGTTCCGGCACCTCGGTTAGAAAGTGGCACCTGAAGGTGTATGCCGGATAGTGCCGTGGTGGGTACCGAGGGGGGCTAGCGTCGGGAGGAGATGCTTCTACCGCCAGTGTTATGTTAACGCCAGAATGATTTTGTGATTAATGTGTATCCAAGGTTAAGAACACAATAGTTAAGGAAGATTTTTGATGAAACAGAAAATTTACAAATTATCTCTTAAATTGTTTAAAACATTAAAAAAGGCAACAGATTTACTGGAACGTAAATCTTGGCAACACTGATATGAATTTTAACAGAAACACCATCGCTTCAGTAGCTCGCAAGACCGAATAATTCCCTCCAAAAGCTCTAAGCCTTTTTTTAATAAAACTCCTTTGCGCATGTCTAACCTATAGAATTTCTATGACCGCTAGCCCTTCGTTCCATTGACGCTTTGCATAGTTAACGGTGAAAATGGTACAAGTAAAGCAGCGATGTAATCTAACATACAGTAGTAAATTTATTTCTTTTTTATTATTTCACCACGTCCAGGCCGTTGGCCTACTGTTTCCTACGTCTATTACAGGAAAGTTATTGCGTTTTCTCTAATGACACTATTGTTAGCCCCGATTTGAACACGCCTTTGTTGGTTCGTTTCGGAAGGGGTGTGGATATATTTGTTTTCAGCCTTTTAATGAATTAATACATATTTTGTTTATGGACAGAATTTTTTAATTTACAAACGAAACAAAGAGAAGTTTATTTATTAAATAAGAGAAGATTTATCTTGTTGTTGTTCTATTCGAGATGTTTCTAAAACTGTTACTTATCGTAAACATTTATTGGGAATATGAAATGAAAGAGAGAAAATCATGTAAATACATTTATTTCATTTTATATTTATGTTATAAATTTTATACAATAATTTGCAACTAACTTATATTTACAAATCTTAAGATAAGTTATTATATGATAATATTAATTGCTCATGTAACAATATTTAACTTCGATTTGTGACGAAATCGTACTGTTTTGAGCGATATTTCGAACAATTATTGTATTGCACATTTATTATAGTTATATTACATTAAATATTTTAATTTACAGGAAATTTATTATCTACTGATATTTGTATTTGTCCGTTTACGCTTGACAACTAAAAAGGAAATAGATAGATATAGTTTCTATAAATCTTTGATACCAAACGTCTTATAGCTTGCTAACTTGTAGGTAAATTTTTAATCAATAACATCGATTTTACATGAATAATAAAGCATGCTATCCGATGGTTATTACGGTCGGTCGGTCAGCATTCCAGTGACCCAGTTTAAATGTATGTAACTAGCTGTTGCTTGCGACTTCGTTCGCGCGGAAATAACAGTAAACAATGTAGCATATTTTACAGATAAATTACCTTTTTAAAGGTGAAATTTTTAATATAGCTCAGTAGTTTTAACGGAATCAAATGAATACAAAAATACACATTATATAAATCTTCACGTGTCTCTAATTCACAGTTAGCACAAGCATGGTATAGTGTAATTCGCCCTCTAATAAAAAAAAACATATTCGTTCAACTGTCAAAAGTTAAAATAATTTTTGTTTTTTAAATACCACAAGTGCAGATATTATATCTATGATTGTTATTTGGGTTTATTTTAATTAAAAAATCTTGTATTACCGTGCAATACAAACCGGTAGATTATAGTTTATGAAACACAAGTCTGTATTAAGGCTGTATCAAGTATTTAGGCTTCAAAATTAATACCTCTGCTAGTTTGAATTAATGTAAACAGGTAATATAATCTCTATATAAATCTTATATTATCAAATCTAAAACTTAGCACCTTTTTACGTATATAAATTAGTATAGATACAGTTATGAACTATATTAAAGCTCCAGTGTTCGCTTACAAGTGGAAGACGATATCTATTGCAATTCCTATTTACTAAGGATTAATTAATTTTCACAATACAAAAATAACATCCTAAAATACTATCAAATTATCAAGAAAACATTAAAATTACCATATTTGTCTCTTAACATGATTCAATATATGTTTACTTATAATTTTAAAGATGACCAGCTAAATATTAATTTTAGAATCAATTACGGTAATTTTGTCACGCGTAAAAATATACATTTTAAATTGGGCCAGAAAAGTACAATACAGTTTTATGTTAATTTAAAGAGTATACATTTTTATTAGAACGAGTATTGCAGAGAGTGTTGCCGCGTTGGCGATCGATCAGCGAATGGCAATAGAGGCGCGCGCGGGCCCTGAGGTCAACTTGCTAGCGAGGGGGGACTCCTCTGTCTCCTCACCACTTTCCCTGCAAAACATCATTTTCTTTGCTTTCAACTCGGATAGAGGAAACTTAATATATTCATAAATCAACAGTTATTTTAAATCAAAGTTATTAGCAACAATCTAAAACTCACTTTTCAAGCACTCACCTGTCACCTGAAGTATGCAGTTAGTGTTATAAAGGCTCGGTATCACCACCTTGGGAACACACAAACTTGTTAGCTTCACTACAAACTAACTAGGTTTAGTGCAAGCGGATATCGTGCATTTAGTGCTTAATTTAGAAGCATTTAACGAAAGAACACGTAGGTGTCAACTTTTACGGCTGTAGTCATTTTGACTTGGCGGAATAATTCTGAAAGGTTTATTGTTTGAGAGGTGTAA